GTTTCAAACACAACCCATCCTGTGCAGGACGTGCTGCTGTAATTGTTGTATTAGCTCAAATAACTGAATCTGAGCAACTGCACACCTTTGACTCATGTAATTATGCTTTTCCAAGAACACGTTGTGCTGTCTCATTAACTTCCCTCATGTCTCAGTTGGCTTCAAGTGACGAGTGTCAGCTGATTTTTCACTGACCGCTTCAGTTTTTAGAAAACTGTATTTCATTTTACTGTGTTACTTTTATTTTTACTTAAAGCGGGGATGTCCAAATGTTTTCATATGTGGGTCAAAGCTATCCAGGTGAAAGGGCTCGTGTGCCACAAAAATGTGAGTTTAACTCTCAACGTGAACAATATTTTGTAGAAAGGACATAAGTTTACTAATGTTGGTGGAGAAAGAGTTTTAAATTGTTGTAGAGCCCAAACGTTAAAAGCCTCATAAACACTAAACTTTTTTTATTGTAAAGGATTTGATTTATTTGATTTGTTGGGTCTATGTTTGTTGTTTTCTTGTCTTTGGAAAGTTCATGTTCTCAGCAACAAAAACGTAATTTGTGTAAATGTCCTTTTAAAAGGGGGTCGATCAGCCTTTTGGACCATGGACAGTCCAAAAGACTGATCGAAGTTCTGAAAAATGGTCCAGCTGTCAGTCGATGCAACAGATTCATAGAAGTTTTGATAAAGTTGATCAACTCGTATGCAGATGACACCAAGTTATATTCATTTAAAATATCCAGGTTCCCTCTTGATTACTTTATTAACTGCAATATTTAGACAAGTTTTTTATGAATCATTATTCAAAATTCTCCTTTCTGGTAGAAATCAGTAAAGGTGTTTGGTGCTTTTTGTGCCATGAAGTGAAAATAAAAAGATTAGAGCCAAAGGTTTGTATTTTGTTTAATATTGCTCATTTTGAGAAGATGGTTTTTCATCTGTTTTGTTGTTAAACCTAAACATTATATAAAAACGGTTTACCAATGAATTTACAGAAAGTCTGCATCGACTTCTTAAGCCTGTCGGCCAAAATGATGCCATTCTTAAACTGCAGTGGTGGGCCAAACAAAGCCACTCCAAGGGCCGCAAATGGCCCCCAGCCCACACTTTGAACACCCGTGACTTAAAGTAATGTGCCTATTTTAAAATATATGAAGTATGAGGTTATAACATTTGTCTTTGAAACATGAAGCTGTGAGAATACAAAGCAGCAGATTTGTAGAGTGACTTTGCAGAATCCTGCTGCCTTCTGACAGCGTTACAGAAAGGTAGAGTTTCTGCTGCCGGTTAGTGCTGAGTCATGGTTGTGACTCAGCATTCCACAGCCTTTCAGCCTGTCTTCCTGTTTCTTGTCTCTATGGTTAGAGAGCAGCGGTGCGGGAACATAAATCTTGTGACCACAGACGTGTTTACCTCAGTTATCAGCTGGCAGGAACCAGTTTTCAAAATGATACAAGGAACTCAAAGTGTTTGCTGAACTCTGTGCGTGGTTATCAAGCATTCTGAGTTCTTGTTTCGTTGTGTAACTGTCTCGTCGAAGGTGAACCAGATAACATTATCAACATCAAGGGGAATGCCTCCGTCTTCTTACAGAGTTAAAATGTTTACAAGTAACAACAGAAAAATGAGCTCAGTGGTAAAAATTGTATTGCTCACAGCTGGAGGTAATAACGGTTTTGCCTGCAGGTGTGCATTTCTTTGTTTATCTTTACCCGTTTACATCATTAGCAAAGTATCTCTTGAACCATTCAACGGACTTTAATGAAAATATTCATGAAATAATCATAATGTTGACAGCTGCAACTGTTTGTCTTATCCACCGGTACATTTTCCAAACAGAGCACTTTGCTCTCAGACTGGAAGTTTACTTGTGGTTCCTAGAGTGTCTATAGGGAGGCAGTTATCAGGCCCCTCTTTTGTGGAACCAGTGTCTAGTTTCTGTACAAGAGGTTGACACAGTTCACTTTTAAGATTAGGCCAAACCAGGGCTGTTCATTTAAACTGCAGGGGCCGCACTGAAAACCAGCAGCTCAGGGACCAGACACACAGTACAGCCATTAAAGTCTTTGTGTAAATAAACCAAGTATTACAACGATCTGTTACCTTTTAAATGTGTTTATTTTGTTGCATTGAATCATAAATGCAATAAACAGAACTCAAACCCAGAACCCAGAACTTGATTTGGAAAGACACACACCTGTCTGCAGACAGACAGGTGTTGCTCCACACCTGGAGATCAACATCATCAGGCCTGGACTCTGTGGTCTACACTCACCTCCAGGCCAGCGGTCACTCTTTCAGGGATGAAGATGTGCACATCCTGGACAGAGAGGAACGATGGTTGGAGAGAGGAGTAAAGGAGGCCATCTTTGTGAGGAGGACCTGTCCATCATTAAACAGGGGTGGAGGCCTCTGGGTTCAACTGTCCCCCTCTTACAATGCTGTGATTGCTAGTATCACTCAGCCCTCTGTGAATATCAAACCAGTGGTGTAGTCTATGTGATACGCAGGTATACGGAGTGTACCCATTAGAAAAGCTTGGAAATTACTGTATAACCACTTAAAAGTGCCCAGTGATTTGACACATCATTGAACATGTGTCATTGTCAACACATTGGGAACATTTTACAGATACAGTACACTGAGTTGGTTCAATCTGTTTTTTGTATAATTAATATTTTTGTACTTATTACTTAATACTTGAACATGTTTTGCTTTGATACGGTTTTATAAATTCTATAACATGTTTTTAATACAAAACTAACTGTTGTACATTTGTTGTTCATGTATTCAAATATAAGCATCACAGAAATTTTGAAATGTTCAATACGCTTAAAAATCAAAATAAATTGACAAATACATTGTACTAACCAGTGTACTTGAGTTTCTAAGCACAGTATACCCAGTACAAAAATGTAGACTACACGACTGCAAGCAACCATCAGTGCAGTAACGACCAGTTGTTAGGCTGATGGTCCTCCTTTATCATGTGAACAGTTAGTTCTGGATGTGAACAACAAACTGGTTGATCCACTATGAGAAGATGATTTTTATAAGACTGAGTTTGTTGCAGCTCCTCAGACTGAAGAAGTCTTTTGGATAAAAATGAAGCGTTTCAACTAGAAGAATCCATCCAGAGGACCTGACTCAAACTTGTTAAATTAGGTTGTAATCTGTTAGATTTAGGGACTACAGCTGCAAATAAACTTGTTTGTACATACAGAAGTCCAGATATAACACAAGCAGTATGTGGATGTCCCCCGTCGCTGAGGGATTTGATGTTTGTAGTTCTCGAGGTGTTTTTCTGGACTGAAATTGAACAGTGAAGACAAGTAAACCTTAATGTTTTTGTTGCAGGACATTCAAGTGGGTTTGACTGTTCGTCAGAGGTAATTATTTATTTAGCTTATCCGATGCAGAGCAGCAACAGATCCTGGAGTGGAGGGAACAATTCTATCCATCATCAGGTACGATGGTGCAGCCACTGGTGGCCTCGATCACAATGGATGAAACTTTGACCATCACAATCATTTCAGGAGACTGCATTATATTATACAGTATATTATACTGCATTATATATATATATTTAATATATTTTATACTGTATTATACAGTATAAAAGCTAGAAAGCATATTCCTCCAATGATAGGGGTGACCAGTTTATATTTCTATATGGCAGTGGCCATCTTGGACTTTTGTGTGGCAACCCAATTTTTGATGGACTTTTCTTAGGTCTAGATGCACCAAAATAAGTCAGTTGCTTATTTTTGACCCAATTGTTTGAGAAAAGTAAACTTTTAAGAAATAAAAATCTAGAAATCAGTTTCCTCAAATGATTAGGGTGACAATTTACATATATATGACGACGACCATGTTGGATTCTGACCTGGCAACACAATTTTCCAAAGGAAACTTTCTAGGTGCAGCCACACACCAGTATTCCCAATTCCCCCTTTTCTCTCCCCAAACCACTAAAATATATAAAAAGAATTGACCAACATGAACATGTGCGCAGATATTTTAATCAAGAGAACACAGATGCTCAGATTCATGACACTACCTTTAACCTGTGGCTTTTAGACAGATCAACTTATATTACTGTCTCTGGAATGACACATTTAAATTTACACGTCACAATGTGACCACTTCAGCTTTGTGCTGAATGAGGACAGGAAACTCAAGGCTACCAGCACAGTATTATTGCTCAGTCATAAAGATACAAAACAGTAAATGTGGAATGAATTGACAACATTTTTTGCCAAGTCACTGATCGACCTGGTACAAGTCTGTTTATACTGGCCCCATGAAGGCAGCACCAGTCAGACATTTGATCTCAGCAGAGTCCATCTGCAGGTCACAGTCTGTAAAAACACCTTTCATCCACAGTCACTCCTCTGGTGAGGACATTTAGATTCTGTGGACAAAACCAGATTTCTGGTGCAGTAACATCAGTTTAATTCAGGTTTGAAATTACAGACACCCCCCCCCCCCCCCCCAAAAAAAAAAAAATCTACTCTAATGAGAGGAGTCACCAGCAACAGACCAAAGGAAGAGCAAGAAAAATAAAGTTTACAACCAAAAATATGTAGAAAACTCACCGACCTGGGTCTGAACCAAATAAGTGAAATACCTTCCTAAAATTGTTCTTTTTTATTAACCTTAAAGGAAATGATACAGTTGGTGAATATCATGTTTAACCATCTCTCTTCTTAAAAATTCTCCTTTGTGAACCATTAAAAACTGACAAAACAACCGTTCTGTTACAAATAGGGAAAAACTAAAAGACTGGATTATTTTCTTTCCTGTCTGAAATACTTCTGCTGTTGTACTTCCCCATGTACAAGAGGACACTCGTGTTTGAATTGCACTTCCTGTTTTGACACAGTATAACAGATCACAGGCCATCTTTAGCACAGAGGAATACAAAATACTGGTCTGTGAAACAGTGACTGCAGCTGAGATGGTTAAACATGTTTTAGGTCACGGTAACTTCCTGCCTCTGTCATGTCACGCAGTAGGAATCCAAACACTTTTCCACTGAACAGCTTTTCTCCATGTGTCTTCCAGCAGGGACGGATGAGACTGGGTCCAGTCTGTCCCATCCTCGTCCTTGTGACGGTGGAGCCACAGTGTTTTCAGCGGACTGGTGCAGGTGTACTGGAGGTACTGGCAGCCCTACAGCAACAGCATGAAAGATTAGAGGAAGTGATCGTGTCTCTTTCTCTTCTGAGAATGCAGGTTTGATTAAAGGCAGATTTTAGAGCTCACTAATATCATCATTCTGTCTTCGTTCAGTTTGTCCTCACCTCAGTGCTGCCCCAGTACCAGACAGCCTTGATGACGCTGTGATTAGCAATAGCCACTGTGAGCTGGTCTGGACGTCCTGTAATGATGTTCACCAAACCTGCAGGCAGCTCTGAAGACTGGAGCACCTGAAGAGGCCAAAGAGGAAAACATGGGAAGTGTAAAGTGTGGTGAAATGAACACGTGTTGTTAGTTGACCTGTTCTGCAAAGCTAATGATGTCAGGAAACAGTGTGAACGTTTATGAAGCAGCCACACGAGTGTGATTCACTTTTCTTCTGTACATTTTCCAACAGGATTCTCTTCCCTCAGTTTTCAGCTATTTCAACAAATCATAAATCAAAAGTTCAGCTCTTCCAGGACAATCCTGCTACGACGTTTGGTATTAGTGCAACTTTAGCTTTTTGAAATATTTAGCTTTTTCTGCCATTTTTTTCTCATAGGAGCTCGTTTTACATCCTTCAGATCTTTAGACGTGTTTACAACCTTTTACTGCTCCTTTCATGGTTTGTTCTGCTTCAGCTTCTTTCAGCTTCCATGTGAATTTTTAAACTTTTTTCAGCTCTTTTCAGCTGTTTTGTGTTCCTTTCAGATTCTTTCAGCTAACTACAACATTTTTCTGTTTCTTCTAATTCTTTTCTGCTCCTTTCAGCTTATTTCTGCAAGTTTCAACCTTTTCTGCTATTTCAGCTACTATTTAGCCGTTTTATGCTAATTTTAGCATTTTCAGCTAATTCCACAATTTTTTGCTCTCAACTTTTTTCAGCATGATTCAGCAGAAATGTGCTCTCTCCATTTTCTTCTGGTAAGTTAAGCTTTCTACTTTTTAAGCTACTTCACAGCTGTTTTTTTTTTTTTTTGCTTGTTGCTAATTTCAGCTTTATTCAAATAATTTCCACTATTTTGTGCTCATTTCTGCTTATTTCAGCCTAACTGGACAAACATGTCTACTTTCTTCTGCTAATTTAAGCTTATTCTATCTTTCCAGCTACTTTTTAGCATTTTTAGCTAATTTCAGCCGCTTTCAGATAAATTCAAAATTTCATGGTAATTTCTGCTAATGTCAGCTTGTTATGCTCCTTTCATCTTATTTCTGATAGTTTCAGCTTTTTCTGCTATTTTAGCTACTATTTAGCTTTTTGGGTGCTAAATTTTGCTTTTTCAGCTAATTCCATGTTTTTGGAGCTCATTTCAGCTTGTTGAAGGATTCAAGGTTCTTTATTTGTCATTCGCACCCCATGTGGTACACGTGGTGGAACGACATTGTGTAGACAGGGTCTCAGTTACATCCAACAATAAAATGTAAAAGAAAAACAGTAACAAGATCTAAAGATATGAACTAAGAAAAAACATCAAACCATCAAAAACATCATTGTTCCACTTCCTTCTGGTAGTTTCCGCTTCTTTCTGCCTTTTCAGCTATTTTTTTGTTGTTGCTCATTTCAGCTTTTTTTTAATCTAATTTCCTATTTTGTGCTCATTTCTGTTTATTGAAACCTAATTCACATATATGTTTTTTTCTGCTTTCTTCTGCTAACTTGGGCTTGTTCTTCCATTTCAGCATGTTTTTAGTGAATTTCTGCTGTTTTCAGTAAGTTCTTCAGCAATAACCATTCACACTACATTTTGCAGGAAATGCAATTTCTCTAGTTAATTTGAAATTAAATCTGATAAATGCATGTGTGTAAAACTAATATTTTCTGCCATGTTCCTGACAACAGGTGGACAGAAACACTCACGAGTCAGGATGTTGCAGATGTTTGCTAATTTAAATAAGAGATAACCTGACTTTGGTCTTAAGTGGCTTTGCGTTAGGGTTTAAGATGTTTAAACACTTACTTGAACAAAAGTCAAAGCCGGCAGGGGATGCTTCCTACTGGGGACTATGACGACTGCGTTACCAAAGGCAACAGCTGCACCGAGAAGCGTTACCATCGAGAGCAGGGGACTTTTGTCAGGGAGGACGATCCCAATGACTCCCAGGGCTTCAGGGACGGAGAGAGCAGTGCCAGACTGTGGCATGGGCTGAAGGAGAGGGGGAGCAAATGAAGTTAACAGAATCCCATCCTCACCACATTCAGGACTTTATATTCTAATGTCTTTGAAGGCCTCACCAGTGATTCTCCCTGCACTTTATCACAGTAAGTCGCCCACACTCTGAGCCTGGCAACGCTCAGCTCCACCTCCTCTTCAGCCTCGGCCAATGAGACGCCAGTCTGAGCGCTGACCGACGTTACTGCCTCCGCCCTCTTGGCTTCTAGGCCTTTAGCCAAAGTGTAGAGTGACTGAGCACGTGCACAAGGACTCCTCTTCATCCAGCTAAAAGAGGAAAGAGATGTTCAAATAATCAGGTTTTAATTTCAAAACTAATGTTTGTTTCTCAAGTTACAGTTTGTTCAGGAAGTAAAACCTTTAAACAGTGGCTGATCCATCATCTGACACGTGTTTGCTTATTAGACTTCAGTCTATTATACTGTTAATAATTAATCCATGTCATGTGCTCACACTCTCTACGACACAGCAAACCCTGTCTTATCACGCTTACACTGAACTTTGACTGACCAATCAAAAAGGACAACAGATTGTTGAAAAAGACAAACATTTTCTCGTGAAAGTCTTGAAGCTTGAATCACTTGTTTTGTTTGAAAGTCAGTTCTCAGCTGGAAATGTGTTATTGGTAAAAAAAACCAAGCCATGTTTTGACCTGAGTCAGCATTTATGGTTTAAAGGAGTTAAAAAGATTTTACTGTTGTTTTGATGACTCAGACAAAATGTCAAGACTGTTTTCACAGAGCTGTGATTGACCCAAACGAGTAATTTAACTAGTCCTGACAGAAAACAGAACACGTTTCAACCAACCTAAAAATGTAAAAAAATACAACTAGGAGAAAATTGTGATTCAACAGTAAAACATTCTGCTTTTGTAAAACGTGTCTCAAAATGAGAAACTCTTCTTTGCACCAGCTGAATGTTTACACAAATCTACTTTTCTTTCATTCAACCTTTATTTATACAGGCTAGTCTCATTGAGCCACGGGGACTCATTTACAAGAGACACCTGTTACTTAAGAGATCCTGCTGACATTTTGAAGTGTGGACTGAAAGGCTGTGAACAATTAATAAAAGACAAGAGTTGTGGACAGGTGTAGGTGGCAGGCCAGACAGAGCGATTCCAAAAACTACAATGGAAAAAATACAGAAGGAGCTCAGTGTCCCTTGCCCAGACGTGGACTACCGGAGCCCCATCGTGGAGCCAGACCTGGGGGAGGGGCTCGTCGGCAAGCACCTGGTGACCAGGTCTCTACCCATGGGACCCGGTCGAACTCGGCCTGAACGAGCAACAATGGTTTGCCTTGTTGTGGTCCCACCACCTGCAGGAGGGGCCACATGAGTCGGGTGCATGACCATAATAATGTGCTTAATGTGCGGGACGGGTCCGTGTCCGGCTTTTGGTCGAGTCAGTGGACGTGTGTGGCTGACGATCCAATTATATGGCAACATGGCTTGCCATACAGTCACCAGCCGCACGTGGCCCTCTGACCGCGTGCCGACCGGCCTTGAAAGAGGTAAAACATTCAGTTAAGTTTCAGATGGGACTGTACTGCCAGGCAGCGATCCATCAAAGCCCAAATGGATGTTCAGCCGCTGCACTCAGAAGACGCGTACGGCCGATGACCCAAACAGGTGAGATCACAAAATACTGGACATGTCAGAGCAGGGTCCGTGTCTGAATAATGCAGAATGCAGCAGAAGCAGGGATTTAATGCGCTTTGACAGCCATGAAAAGACAAACTCCCCCTCAGCTCAGATCTTCTGTCCCCTTAGATGCGCGTGTCCACCGACCGTTAATAACTAAATAAGCAGTCAAAGCTTAATTAAAATGTCGGGGGGAGGAGGTTCAGAGCTGTAATTACTGTTAATTCGTCGGGTGGGGTTCAGAAATGATGGCTACGGGCTGGGGCCGGGTTGGATTTTTTGGGCCCGAATGCAACTCTAGACCATACTAATAATTAGATGACTTTTATGTTGCATTGACATTTTTTAGGCCACACTGGTTTAATTAGAAAATATATTTTGGTTTGAAGCTTGTTAAAGTCACACTCTGGGACAAGATCACCTATTTTTTTGCATTTAAACACATTTGCTGAGGTCATTGCTTTGTCAGTAGATATGCAGGACTTTGGCACCACAGAGTTCTGTTTGTGTGCACGCAGTTATAGATTTCTTTTTGTGTCTCAGCTCTCACCCAGGCTGGACTTTGATGGCAGCCTCCACAGCATTGCGAACATCTTTCCGACCTCCTTCGGGACAAAAGGCCAACACACTACCGCCCCCTGGTGCCTGCACAGCTACACTGCTGCCCGACACTGATTTACACGCTTTGCCTCCAACAAAGTGCAGGTAGGATGGAGGAGGGCTGGGATGAGAAATACACAGAACAGAAAACAACCTGTTTAAATCTTCATTAAGAACACTATAGCATCCTGTTTCAATTAAGATAAAAAGATTTTTAAAAAACTACCTTGCAAGATCTGAAGAGTCAGGAATGACAGCCTGGGATGCTTCTGTTCCAAACTTTGAGTAGTCCATGGAAACAGGAGAGGAGTGAGAACAAGGAGAGGAAGAAAAGGACGGGCGCAGAAACTGGTACAAACCCTGGAGGGAAGCAGAGGTAAAAATACAGAGACCAAAATAAATGGTTTCATCGGAGCTTACAGCTAAATATCAGCTAAAAGCAAAAGCAACAAAAGGCCAACTAAAAGCTTGAAGCAGAAAAAAATGCTAGCTAGCGTGAAGCTCAAAGTAACATAGGATGCCACAAAATAATTAAAATATGCTGAAGATTTCCAAGAGAAAGGGAATTAAAGAAGTCTCTGTATTTTTCTATAATATATTTGTTTTTAAAAGTGTAAAAGTTACACAAACAAATGATTAATCTCACGAATGAGCTGGACCTTTTGATAAAGGAATGGCTAAAACAGTGTGCAGAAGTAGTTCTACTGCAAACATAAATAAATAAATGCATACAGAAAAAGTAAAAAACAAACAAAATGCAAAACTAAAGAATAAATGCTTAAACAGCATTCACGCTATTAAGGTTGGTTCTTAACGTACCTCCTGTCCTCCGTCGGTGCAGGAGCTGCTGTCTTTGTGACCAGAGACAGGAAGACAGGGATCGAACACGGAGCTGGAATTCACCCACACCGATCCAACCAACAGACTGGGAGGGAGAGAAGAAACACAGACTACAGTGAAGCCTCACATGTTAATAAAAGCTGAAGAATAAGAACACAGACAGAGAACAGGGCAAACAAAAAGTAGTTGGTAAATGGAACTGACAGCGTAAAGAGGAGAACGTTATTTGAAGACAAGGAATATATGTTGTTTACCTCTTTGCTGTCTCCAGAGCCAGAGTGAGATCTTCAGTCCAGATGGATGCTGCATGGCCATGAGGACTGTGGTTTCCTGATCAAAAACACAGAGCACCACAAAGACTAGATCCACTGAAACTTCTTTTTATTAACGTCCCTTTCACATTAAAGACCTCGCTACCTTCTCCAGGGCCTACAAGACCTATAAAAATGTGGCTAGATGGCAACAAATCTGGACAACTTTCAATTTAAGGCCTGCTTTAAATTCTCATCAAGCCACACTGGTGCACACAGGTCACATGTCATGAACAAACTGCAACCGGTCTCACCCACACTCCACCCAGGACACTACTACTGCTCCCACAATAATAAACCACCCTGTCCATCCCCATTTAATGGGGGGCCCACTGTATTCTTACACTCATGAGGATTTTGCCATGGCCCCACAAAAGATCATCCACATTTTCTTTAAGCCACAGCATGGTTGTCTGCAGTGTGAAGGGGGCATGGGAGAAAAGTTAACTTTGGCCTCCTTCCTTACTAGAGCTCGACTGATATATCGGTAGGGTCGATAATTTAGGTCGATACAGATGTTTGGGGACCTATCATCTGTGACAACGGTCCCATTATGCTCTGATAAACACTTCTAATTTTCACCCCTGAAATGCTGGAACCAGCTGTAATTGTACAATGTATCCAGCAGAGGGCGCATGAACACTACTTTCAAGTCATGGCCGTTCACTTAAGTTTCACTTTCACATTCAGCACAGATGAAGCAGGGAGCAATACTGTGTAGTGTATTTTGCTGAACAGAGCATAGTAAGTTTATTTTAACTGATCTGTAAAACAAATCAACAATAATAAATTATTTTCAATCCTCCATCCTGCTTGTCATTAGCTAAGTGACTCTCAAGTTAGCAAGCTAACATTTAGATGACCTAGCATAGGTTATAGCTTTATAAAACTTTGTCCAGAACAATACATTTAATGTAGCAGTAAATATACATCAGTGTTACTAACATTATATTTGTCATCCTCAATGAAATACATCGTTTGTCTGAAATCTTTACTTCTCTGCAAAGAAAAATAAACTCTGCTGTGGTCAATACTAATTAGACCTTCACCATATGTGACAGGCTGTTTAAACAATGAACAGTGTTTCTTTGTTTAATTTATATTTATGTAACACACTTGATAACTTTATGGTGAATAGTGGAGAATAGAAAATGTGAGCGGACGTTAGGACGACTGTTTTTATGACCAGTGCACCACTTGTAAACCTGCTGTGGGACTACGTATAGAGTGGATCTGATTAGCTTAGCTTCATGGTTGCCAACAGATGTGCTAAATAAACAAGCCCAGCTCCACTCACTGTCTTAGAATATTGGGGGTGGACAAAGCTCAAAAATTTTCAGCCATTATATCAGTTATCGGTGGGCACAAATCCCCCACCCCCATCGGTGATGGCCAAAATTTCCATATTGGTCAGGCTCTATTCCTTACCCAAAACCACAGCTTCTGAGTTGCTTCTGAAAGTCATGACAGGCAACAGAGGTCCAGGAGGGGGGCTGACCACAAACGGTGAGGAGGGAGCCGCACCACACAGCACTGTGGGAGGATACTGGGCACCAGAAGGAGGGGGAACACAGGACTGGACCAACTGGGAAGAAGGAAACAGAAGAAATAACTCAACCTGTAAACAGCAGATTATTTATTTTGTTTTGTTCCATCTAATGTACACCAAGATTTAAGCAAACAGCTCTCTGAGAATCACCTGGTTTGTGCGAAATACTATTTTATATTTGTCGAACTGTCTATCATTGGTACTTTTCACAGCTTTAAGTAAGCAAAACGCATAATTTGATGAGTCAATCTCTGATGGAGAACTTAACAATGTTTACTTCTTCTGACTAACCATGATTTCAGTGATTGTCAAACTTGAACCAGTTCACTGTATCGTTCACATCGAGACGGAGCCTAAAAGACAGATGTGATGTTAAATGTTTGTGGATGAACTGCACATAAGAGAAATGTGTGTATATAATAATAAAACTGACAAGTATTTTTATTGCTTGCCGTGGAAAAGCAAAAGGCAGACAATAATGTTTTTGTACAAAACATCTTTCGAATCACTGGATGAATTTGATTAAAACTCAAAGATTTCAGTGGCTGTAGATCCAAAACCGATTCGCTTGTGGAGCCAACCCAATTAAAGATGACCTCCACAAACAACTGAGCTCAGAAAACACACAAAAAGGCTCCAATTCAATACATTTTATAAATACTGAACTGAAATTTTGGTGTGAGGGTCGTTGACAACACATACGCATGACGCCAATCGTGCACGTTATTTTCATAGTTTGACAAAACAGCTGTAGTTCTGTCTCTTCTCCACATAGGACGATGCATGTTTTTAAACTCTGGCAGGTGATCTGCAGTCCTCCAAGGAATGCTAGGCCTTTAATTTGAGCTGTATGCGTTAGAGCTTTCAGGTGGGGTGCTACAGTCTCTCTCATAAAGCTGCTTTACGAGTGTGTCCAGATGTAAAACGGTACTAGAACTCAAAGCTCTAAAGAAGCATGGGCCACGTAAGACACAGTGAGGTGGAGATGCTCACTTCATCTCATAAAACCAGTTTCTATGCAACGAGCTGTAAATTCACGATTAAAACTAATTAAAAATAATTGCTGAGTTTTTGGAGCCGACCGTTGCCCCCTGCTGTTTCGCCTCCTGTACAGCAGCGTCCACAAGGATCCTGTCTGCATCGCCGCGCAGAGCAACGCACTTCATTCCTGCCATGCGCAGCTTGAGCCGGGTCACGACGCTCTCTGCCACGCTCTCCTGCACACACAACAGCCAGCGGAGCTGAAGACAGAGAGGAGTGTGTTAGAGGGCGTGCTGTCGACAGGAGAGACGCTGCAGCCATTCACTCACCTCGCTCTTCTTCTTAAAGGCGGCCTGGATCACTTCGTCCACAGCACTGTTGATGTCAGCTGACTCAAAGACGATAAAAGGACACGTGGCCCCGATACACGAAGAGACGGAGACAGGAACTCCCACTCCTGCTGTGGCTTTACACAGAACTGACCCATCCTGCGAGAGCACAAACACTGGTCTTTAGTTTTATTATATTTATCAAATGTGCTTTAGGATCAAACTAAAGCTTAAACTCCACAAACCTGTTTGTTGCCACTGTAAGTCACGTAGCTGACGTTGGAGTTCTGGGCCACTTTGGCCCCCAGAGTCACGTCACTTCCTGTTAAAACATTAAGAGCCCCAGCAGGAAGTCCCGCTGTGGTGAAAAGATGAGCCAAGAGGAGGGCTGGAGGGGCGGCGCTCCGACCGGGAACAACCACCACAGAGTTGCCTGAAAATAAAGAAATAAATTAAATAAAAACAATTGGTAATATTCCTTTAAGTCAATTCATTAAACCCCTGGAAATATTCAACAGCTTTTCAAGCCAAAAAAATCTTGTTTTATAATTACTTTTTTTTCCTGCTCATTAAATGTTGGTTTTTGTTCAGACGTGACATGAAGCAGCTAAATGAATTTTCCTGATTCCTGCTGATCTGACCTCAGAATAAATCAATTAAGATAATAATTAGAACACTAGAAAGTTTCTGCAGAAACTTTGACAGGGACTCCATGTGGCGGCCATTTTAAATTTTTTGATTTAACAGTGCTATGTGTTGGGGGTCACTTCCACCAAGCTCCAGCTCAATATGGCAACAACTCAATGTGTTATAAACATTTTTTATTTTAAGTAATGGGGGCCATGCTGGATTTTTGTTTTTGATTCAGTATGTGATGGGAAATGTTCTCAGCTATAACCACACCAGCAAAGTCCATGCTCAATAATCCAGGTATATAATCCAACAATTTTCAGTCATCAGAATCAGTTTTGTTTTGTGTGTTTCCTTGACTGATGAAGCCTTCTGGATGAAAGATGAAACATTTCAGAAAAAAAAAAAAAATGTGAGCTAAGCTAGCGGTGTGCACAGCTAGGTAAAAAGCTACAGAGGTAGCACCGTTTCCCTCACACATCCCTCCAACAACAACTGCTGGCAAGAACGTAGCGGCAAGGGCGTCCGAAGCATCCGTAATGTGGGGGGGACATAATGATGTGTGCGTGCGTGCACGTGTGCGCACGTAAAAAAATGTGTTCACTAGTGAACAAAAAGCTGCATTTCACCTAGATTTCCTTTAATTTCACACATTTAAAGCACGTTTCTCACCAAGTTTGTGTAAATTCAGCAGTGGGTTTTAGAGACATTTTAACTTTAATACACTTTAATACAGAGCGTCAGGTCGGCACTATTTGTGTTTATAGAGAAATAAAAAAACATCACCACTAGACATTTTTACTTGTGTTCAACACGACTCATCTAAATGATGTTTCTCATGAAGCTTGAGGACAATAAGGTGTGGGGTTTTAAAGACATTTCAACTTTAATGCACCTGAACACACCACATCTTACACCTGCAGCGTCTTACAGCGTCACAGTTACTGCTGAGATAAGATGCTACAGACGTAGCGCTGCACTCAAGCATCCTCCTAACATGAATGATTGATGATCAACCCCCCTGGTCAACCACTGCTCGCACTAAGCTGCTAAACTGGCGAGCGAGTAACTGATACGACCACCTCCTCCACCTGTGCGCATTTTCTGCCGAGGCAAGAGGCAGGAAGGGACGGTGGAGAGTTGGAGGTAACCAGGAAAACCTGGAGTGGAGTTTTAGTGGCTTGAGTATTCTCCTATTAATCAAGTGGAATGGATTTGTTCACGAAGAAAGAGAAACTGCGCCGCCTGAACTAATGTTTTATAGTAAAAGTGGGGGGGGTCCAAATGAACGTTTTTTTAATGTGGGGGGGACTTGTCCCCATCACATATAATGGTTGCGACGCCTATGTGTAGCGGTCAACAAAAATCCCTGAAGAGGTGAGCGCCACGCCAAGGGAAGTGACCTACGGGAAACACTGGAGAGACTACATCTCTCGGTTGGTCTGGGAACACCTTGGAGTCCTCCCAGAAGAGCTGGAAGAGGTGGCTGTGGAGAGAGATGTCTGGACCTCCCTGATCAAGCTGCTGCCCCTGAGACCTGACTTCAGAACAAGAGGAAGATGATGGATGGATGAACATTGAGTGTCTCCAAAAGAATTTTAGTGCTCCTTCACTCCAAAGCTCTACCCTGAAGGATGAGTGTTATTGTAAAAGTATCTGGACAGTTTCTTTTTTTGTGCTGAAACGTTTCGCCTTCGATCCAGAAGGCTTCATCAGCACAAAAAAAAACAGAAACTGTCCAGATGACCTGACTGAAAAATGTTGTATTGTATACCTGGATTATTGAGCATGGACTTTGTTATTTTAAAAGTACTTTCCAGTGCTTTTTCTTGGGATTATGTTCTACCTGGGAATTTATTTTTTATCCCCGTTTCTTGTAGTTGAAACTGAGTACGGTTAAAAAAAGTGTATTTTTTTTTTTTAACTTCCCTAGTTCATGAAAATGTTTATTGCAGTTGAAACAGATTTAGACTACAGGACACAATGGACTTTATCAGTGAGGGTCTGAAAAAGACAGATGTGTATTTTACCCATGGCCAACGCTGGCAGGACTTTAAGCATGAGGGAATACAGGGAGCAGTCATCAGAGGAGACAACAACCACTACACCTAGAAGACATGGGAAATAAAGAAATGATAAAAACCTTCATAAATATTCAACACAGACACTGAAAGCATTACATTAAACTGAGATGGTTTGAAGTGGGGTTTTGTGAAAAGTTATCAACCAATAGTATCTTACCTGTTGTAGACAGCTCTTAGAGCGACCTCAGTTTAAAGAAACAGAGTTTAAACTCGACAGAACTGATGAGACAATGGCTAGTCTGAGTGCAGCCAAGACCTAAACTAATTATAGAGATCAACTCCAATCTTCAACATTTTAATGATGACGATTGTTAATTTCATATTATATGATTATAAAACACAATTCTATGGTTAATTGCAAACAACAGTGCCAGCAGCAGCTAGCTGTAGCACTTCTGGTGCAATCTGGACACCATACTTCTGCAAGAATAATTGTGAAATGTGAAACTGATAAAGGTTTAAAAATTGTATTAGTGTTTGAATAATTGTAAAGCTCGGTACTGGACAAACCAGTCCAGAGAAGGTTGGTCCAGTGCGGGCTTTGTTTTTAATAGGCTGTCTACACATAAGCGGTCTATGGTCTGCTCAGACTAGCCGTTACCCGAGTCCTACTGGACTTAAACTCAAAAAACTGAGGCCGTTCAAAGAACTATCTACAACAGGTGAGATATTAATGGTTAATAACTTTCCACAAAACTCCACTTCAAGATGTCAAAAAGAGCCTTTCAAAGCTCACCAACAGGAGACCAGTTAGAGATGAGGTGGTCTCTGAGCTGAGCCCAGCTGCTGTAGAACTGCAGCAGTCTGATCAGGGAGGAGAGCGAGCAGGAGGCCTCACACAGCTCACACAGCTCCGACACACACTGACCGTGCAGCCCGAGGACACTCACCAACCTGTGAGGTGGACAGGGAGCGGCCATTAATGAGCATAGAGCTCAGAAGGCTCCGGAAATGTTTGGACACGGTTTAGCAGACCTGAGCAGGATGTTGGATCTCTGGGTGCAGGTTAGGCTGCTCCAGGTCTTGTAGCCCCCGTCAGCAGATGAGGCGCACTGGGAGACGTCCCCATCCTCAGCAGATACTGTGCTGCACACCACGCCACCTGGTAAACAGGAACACCTGTTAGTGTTACTGATTTCATCCAAACAGAGCCAAATCAGAGCAGTCTGCTGGAATTACAGCTCCCACCTTTAGAGTCAGTCAGGGAGCAGATCAGTCTGTCTGCTGGACGAACAAACTTTCCATCGATGAAGAGACCGAGAGAACGAGAATGATGATCTAACCAGGCCTGAAGATGAACAAACAAAAGGTTCGTTTCAAAAACAAGAACATATGAAGCACTGCTGAGGAGAAAAACTCACACTGCAGGTGTGAGTCTGAGACATCTGTATGGGACTTCAACCACGAACAAGTTACACCAACAGGTCCAAATGTAGAAAGATGACGTGGTGAAAGATGACAAGGTGAAAGATGACGTGGTGA